AGTATAGTATGTTTCAGTTCCGGTGCCCGAAGATTTAATATTTGGGTCCACGTTTTCCTATAACGCACATATAACGATTAGACCGATATTCGGTATTTTGATAATCCTAATCAAATTTACCCACGAAATTGTTTCAAATTTGATATTTAAGAAGATTTATTAGATGACAATCCTTCAAATATAAAATTTCCTTTATGGGTTCCCGTTTTTGTATGCCCCATATAACGGCCTCACCCACTTTATGGTTTTTTGAAAAGTTTAATGGCATTATCCAAACGGCCTTACTGGTAGTTATAGTTTAAAGTGAGACACGTTTAAATTTAGATTAATTCAGATTCGACACGGCCGAACTAACTGTTTTTTTTTTTACTTTGTTGGATGTTACCATGTTTTATGCATTAATTTTTTCTGAAAAATTGTCACAAATTGAAATGCTATAAATTTTAAATGATTGTTAACTGTTCACCTTCACCACACAGCAAATCTACAGATCTGGGGGAATCTTAGATTCTATAAAACGTTTTTAAAATGGTAGGACCCAAATTGTATATTTTTCTTACAATAATTATGTTATTCTCATCATCCACATACCGATCTTCAATCACTTTTTCTAACTCTTCTCTTACACAAAAAATTAGAATGCCCCGAAAAGAAGACAAACTGATAAAAAATATTATCTATTTAAAATGTTTACACTGTGAATCACAACAGCTTCTGTGTTTACAGAAAGAGTCATTCAGACTGTTTTTTGTTGTGATCACCTTCAAAGAGTACTGAACAGAAATTAAGTCATTCATATTTTAAACAATCATTTTGCCAATAATAAGTATTTCTATTTTTTCGCATCTTCACTTTACTTTTTAATGTTACTTCAACACCCAGAATAAACGACAATAACGAGCCAAGGTCATTCAGCTATCAAGTTTAGCAAAACAACAAAACACATTTTAAGTTTTCATCGAATATTGCATTTATTTTGTTTTGCTCTGATAGAGCCTAATTTAATGAACTACAGATTTGAATTCGACAAGTATTTCAATCAAAGAACTCGATATCTAACATGGAGCATCTTTGACGCTGTTGAGAACACGTCCCAACTTTCGGTATTCACGCTGGGTGCACTCGAATTCGCAGCGATTGACATAAGTAATTCCATTCGAACCACAGACAGGCTTCTTGTTTTTCAAATCACAGGGGCAATAAATGGCCTGAGTAAGACTCATCAGGGCACTCAGGCTTAGGATGAAAAACAGCAAAACGCTGAAATATTTCATTTTCACTAGTTCGTAACGGAGATGACAGAATAAGACTGAAGTAAGGTTGTTCGCTACTTGAAGACAAACGTGTGTTCAATGATAACGCTGAACTGAAACTGAATTTCCGAAACTAGAGTTTATGTGTTTTTTATTCAAATTGTTTATTTGCTCTGAGTATTTTTTTGTTTTGAGCAAACAAAACGCCAAAGATACAGAGACAGATTCAATGTTGTCAAAGTTGCGGTTTTTTTCGGCCGGACCAATCTCTAAATAACATCCACCACGGGGAAAAGAGAATCTATGGCAATAAATACTATCAAGACTAAATATTCGAGCGGGGTTTAAAACTGTAAGTCAAACTAAAATTCATTAAAAAATTTGGGTTAAACCGAAAAGCACACGATAACGTTTAATGGGCGCTAAATCGGAAAGTGAACCTACACTTTTTTCTTGCAATAAGAATAAGAAATAAAATACAGTCATTTTAGTCGTAGTATGACTTAGAAACTTAAAAAAAATAACGATTATCGAACAGTACCTTCATATGGTGGTTATACCGAAACGTAGCATACGAACACAAAGAACCCAGCAGGATTAAATGTTAAATGTCACAGTCCAGCTAATGAACTAAAAATGCATTAGTTATCCCATTATTGTTTTGCACTTTTTACACCGCATGTTTAAAGGCCAAAAATATCACCTTTGCTTATTTACCTTTTTGTCTCAAGCACTGATAGTATTGAAATAAATTTTTGACATGTTCTTGCGTTGTTACGTTAACTAAACACTTTAGTCGAAGTTCCATACTTCTTCCAATAAATTGTTATCGGGTCACAAAACGCAACATTGACAATATTTTATTTGTTTAATTGTTTACAATGCGTAATTGTTGTTAGAGAGAAAAGAAAATAATTCGCACCTCTCCTTCACTCCCATTCTTTCAATAGTCAGTGACTGAGACCAACTGCCTTCGCTACTTACTTGCTTATTAAATAAACAATTCTCTCTCTCCATCTCTGTTCAGCCTATTTACATATGTGAATTAATTAAAAGCTAATAATTTAAGTTGAAGTACATCATATGTCATTCAGTATCCAATTACATACATTGTACGTTCATAATTGATTCATAATATATTCACCACAAAATTTTACATAATCAATTAGTTTTTTTTTTTTTTGCAAACGAAATGGAAATTAAATATCAAATTTTCATTTGTAAGCAAAAATAATATATTTTTCTAGAATTTTCCATAACAGTCACAGTATCAAATTTTCTTCATTATTAAACGCATTTTATTTTAATTTCCTATCAATGAAAAGATAATCAGGTGTAGCCGTCATTAACAGGCTTTCCAAAAAAGCAATTCAATGTCGTAAAACAATTGGCTTATTTGGCAGACATAGGCGCACGTTCTTCCCATAAAATATTCCGAAGCGAGAATATTTGCATTTAGGGCAGACAAATATTCATATCTTCTACTTTAAAGAGAATGACAACAATCAAAAGTGAGGCTTTTCAAATCGATTGAGTCAAATTGAAATTTAAGTGCTCATTACGAGTATGTGTTGAAGTCATATTCATTCGGTGCAAAGTGTGCAGAGGCGGACCAATGGGAGGGTGGTGTTTTTGGAGAATGTGCAATATGACATGCCCCATGACATGTCTTTGTTGTTATGGGGATTACATAGAAAATGAATCGGAATTGTAATAGTATATAATATTTATGTCCAATTTCTCTTAGTTTTTGTTAAACAACCGAACAATCAATGTATACAGGGTGAGATAAAAAACTGCAACAAAGTCAAACGCCATAAATTTTACATTTTTTTAAATTTAATTGTTGAATGGAAGCAAAAAATGTCGGAAATAGCATCAAATGTTAGAATAAGTTTAGATTTGTTCGAATTGGTCACCTTTGGCACGAATTACGGCTAATGAAACCGTCACACGCTGCCCGAATGTTGCTCTGCGGCATTTTGGCCCATTCCCGGCGAAGTGCTTGCTTGAGATGATCGACATTTTTAGTGCTAATCTTGAAACAAAAGTCCCACGGATTGGTATCCGGAGATTTTCGTGGCCATTGTGCGCTGGAAATAAAGCGAGGAACCACATTTTGTAAACATTCATGGGTGGCGCGTGCTGAGTGCGATGTTTGCGTGCCCCACACCTTGATACAGAATATTTTCACGATAATATTCGGCATTTATTCTGATGCCACGGTCGTTTAATACGAGCGAAGAGCGACCACCGGCTGTTATGGTGGCCCACACATTCACCATGGCCGGCGCTTGAGTTCTGGTGGCCAACAGAGGTGCACATTTTCAGCCGACCTCTCTGGCAAATAAACAAGATTATTTTGTTTGTTTACAAACTGCTGGACAACGAATGTTCTGTCATCGGAGAAAACCAAATTCGGCAGTTCACCACTTTCGGCCAAGCGAAGCAACTCTTTAACTCTTTTGAGTCTATTTTCTTTCCGTTACGGCGTAAGTTCTTGCACTTTTTGGAATTTCAATGGCTTTACCCCGAGCTCATTTTTCAATATTGGCCGAATGAAATATTGTGATATGTTCAGCTCACGAGCCATTTTTCGGCCACTTCGACGCGGGTTTCGATCAAGGCACTTCTTTACTTTTCGAACCATTTCAGCTGATGTTGCTGTTTTCTTCCGGCAACTTCCTTGACGTCGTGCTACGCTACCAGTGCGATGGTACGAGACACAACAGATTTATTCACATTTAAATGCTGGAATGCTCTAACGATAGCGACTTGTGGTTTTCCAGCCAAATATAATGAAATCACACTACCACGCTTAAATTTCATCACGAATAACAGTTTTTCTAGAAAATTCTCACCAAAATGCATTTGTACGCTTGCAAACAATATAAAGAGTTGTTACTGGAATAATTTTAACAGCTGTCGGACATGACAACAGTCTCAAGTTGGTTGCAGTTTTTTCATCTCACCTGTACACTTTGTGGGGTCTAAAATGTATATTTCGATGTGTTACAAACGGAATGACTAAATTAATATACCTTCCATACAATGGTGGAGGGTATACAAATATCACATTACCTCTCATTTGGTTGGTCATTTTCCTGTTTATTACAGAATTGCGCCAATATGGTAAGTTCATTGAGAATTAATTGGTGTCGCCACAAGCAGTACAAAAAAATTCACTAAAGAATGATTATGAAAACACTAACATATTAAAGCTTTTCGAAAATGAACGAAAGCTATGAACATTATTAAAAATTTTAAAGTTCAGAAAGGCATTTAAAATGAGCTGCCTAGTTTACAAACTTTATGCGAACATATTCAATGAGAGTATCTCACTAACTACACTATTCCTACCATATCTGCACAAATTTGAGTTAAAATTTTTCTAGATTATGGTAGAACAAGAGAACAAAAAAACTGCTCCAAAACACTCATTTAAAAACTACAGAAAATGTACCCCAAGAAATGCACTCAACTGCAAAACTTCTTATCAAATACCCGTATGTTAAAAAAATTCTCGTCAACAACTTAGTCACTCAAACTATCGCTCTCGCCACCGATTCAAAGTCACTAACAATAACACGACTTCATTATCATTTCAAAAGAATTTTGCGGGCACTTTTCACACATTATCGGCAACAATATGGAAATGACACTTTTATTAAAATCAAATGCGGTGAATGCATACATAAAGACCTAGCAAAAGTCCCCGATTTAATAGAATATAGAAAAAGAAGTAGAAGTCTAATGCTAGTCGGGGGTAAAGGGATGCAGACAATAAAAACAACAAAAATCGTAATTAAGCCCAACCACCAGAAATGTTCCATACCCCTCACACGCAAGGTTCTACCCCGCAATGCCAATCCAAATGATACAACAGAACCAAAATACCCCTTCGCTCTATGAATGATCGCATACATATGTACGAGTAAGTTTCAAAATCACCACAAGATAAGATAGACACGTCAATACGCTCGGCGGCGCAGTTCTATTTCAACAACGACAGATATCGATTATCAAGGAAAGCAATCGCCTGTGGTTTGGCTCTTCCATGAGTTAGTTAGCTCGCATATTCGAAACGCTGAAGATACCCAGAGAGTGAACAAAAGCGAAATGAAGTTCCTACATCTTATCTTAGCTTTGGTCTTGGCGATCTGCGCCTTCAACACACAACCTGCCAGTGCGGAATTGTGCCCATGTCCACGCAACTATGACCCTGTCTGTGGCTCCAATTTGGTGACCTATTCGAACCGCTGCGAATTCGAGTGTTCGAAACGTGAAGTGGAACGCAGTGGACGCAGTTTGGGTTTGGCACGTTCAGGCCCATGCTAAGGAGATACCGACCAGTGGATAAAGAAAGTGTATTTTTTCCAAATTAAAAACATTATTGGCAATAAAAAAATTAATATTAATTGTGATTTTTACGTAAACAAATAAATCAAATGTAATCAAATCTATTGTGTTTTCATATTGTGGTGATGAATTTTTATTTTTACGAATATTTTTTATTTAAAAGGAATAGTTATTACGACTCTCATTGTTATGTGCATCCAAGTTCGTTTTTAGTGAAAAATTAACAAAAACCTATTTTTTTAACCCTACACCACATGGTGGTAAGGGTATTATGTCTTTGTACATTTGTTTTTAATATGAAAAAGGAAGCGAGATAGACCCATAGTTACTTTTGAGGATCTTCATAGAATTACTCTCTGAGTCGATTTATACATGTCAGTCCGTCCGTGAACAAAATGCAGGTCGCATTTATTATACGATCCAGATGGAATTTTCCAAACAATATTTGTTTGGCCCAAGGACGAACCCTTTTGAAATTGGTGAGAATTTAAATATAGCTCCCATACACCAAATGGCCAATATCAGTCCAAATGACATGAATTTTGGCACATCCGACTGAATTCAGTCTAGAAGCAAGTACATCAAATTTGGTGAAAATCGGTTGAGATATGGCTATAGGTCCCATATATATGTTTCATTCGACTCCACAACAATGATCGGTTCAGATATGACTATAGGTCCCATATATATGTTTCAACGGACTCCACAACAATAATCGTTTCAAATATGGCTATAGGTCACATATATATGTTTCATCTGACTCCACAACAATGATCTTTGTTACCATATATCACATACGTCCCTGGCAAATTATATCGAGATTGGATCAGATTTGGATATAGCTCCCATACATATCTTATCCGATGTTAGGATCGATTTTTTCATATTCAATCGAGTTTTCCCATTTGTTGAAACTTGGTTCGATATGTCTGTTGCCCCAATAATTTGTTTTTAATATAATTTTTATTAAAGTCATATCATTCACATATTAAATTCCCAATATAAACTTTTTTGTTACGGGAACTTTACTAAATACGCATAGTGATGTATGGTATCATATAGTCGGCCCGGCCCGACTTTTGACCTTTCCTTATTGGTTTAATTTAAAAAATATATTTTTGTAAGAGCATTTAATCCAGAAGTAAATGTTTATTAAAATAAAGTACCATTCTTCACTGATCTGTAATATAAATAAATACACAAAAAGATAAATGACTGGTCTAGTAGTTTAGAAACTTATTCATTGGATAAAGCAAGTAGCTTTCGCAAATATCAATTACTGATTCAAAGTCGACGAATTTTGATACAATTCAATTGAATATATTTTAAATTTGTCTACCCTTTTATTTGATTAAACCTAAAATTGTGAAATATAATTTCATTAGATCATTCTGCCCAGAAGTATATGTTTATCACCTAGGACTTCTAAAATGTATCTAATTTCGTTGCCACAAATAGAATCGAATTGGTGATGGATACCCAGATGAATAACAGAATTTCTTGGTCACCATAAGATCCTAGATCGTTTCACTGATGTCCGTCTGTTTGTTGAGATAAAGATAGGGTCCACATTATTTGATGTACAGCTCTGAAATTTGACACAATAGTTGACATTGTGTCCGCTTTTAGGCATTGACCTCCTTCTGAGTTTCAGTGAAGTTTGTAGGCACATTTATCAACTGAATGAATTCTTATTGTTCTTTTAATTGCGATAGACCCATATAACGGAACCTTCCGTTTTTCGATATTTTGAAGGTTTTTGCCACAACTTCCAAAAAATTAAACTTGAAATTTAAGGTTTCTTTTCTTGTAAGCCGAGAACATGCCTAATTCTAGCTTTAAAAAAAAAAAACATTCAATATAGGGCCAATATTTGGAATAGTTATGTATAGATCCAGTATCTGATATAGCTCCCATATAACGGAGCCTCCTTCGAGAATTTATTATAGAATTTATGATCAAATCTCTCATATTCATCTCAACCAAGATGAAAGATTTACCCCTAACCCCACTCCCTCTAGTACCCGCCAAATTGTAACATTTTTAAGGCTTTAGGTTCGAAACGATTTAATTCCATTTTAACATGTTTTCCAACATGAGGATATGAGTTGAAATAGCAAAATAAATTTCAATTCAATCAAATGCTCTCTTAATTATACACACGCACTTATAGACAACCACAAATAACATTTATTGGGTTCTGAATTGTCGCCCAATTCGAACTAATTCCAAATAAAAATAATTTATAATTATTTGCTCATTGAATTATCCACACAATATTGAATGACAAAAATTAAAAGTTTACCAATTGAATGTCGTTGTCCAAATTCTAAAATGAAATAAGCGTATGCGTACAAATGTAGTTTATGGATCGAATTGTGTAGTTTGTTTATTTCAAATCAAATTTGCCAGCAACGCATTAAATTTTGTTTGGTACCATAAATAAATGGCAATGGCAGTATGCAAGAAAACCAAATCAAAAACAAAGTCTGTGGGGGTGGAGAATTGCTTTCAGGAAAACCTTCCGAGTGAATTTTAGGGCCCCGAAAGCAGATTATCTTTGAGTCAGGTGTTATTATTTTATACATCTCTCTGCTCTATAATAGAGTATTTAATTTTAACAGGTCTCTGTTATGCATCTGTATTTTTTTCCTAAACTAATATTCCAAGTTTCATTTGTCGGTATTAGAATTTCTTTAAGAAATTCAGATGATAAAACAACTTTTGAACCCAGGTAAATTTGCTGTTCAAGAAAACCGTATTTAAGGGTCTGTTTCTCTATGACGATTTGGGAGTGGACTAGAAAGAAAATCGAATGACGAATGGGTGTTATTCTTTCGAGTTCACTTGGGAATAATCATAAAAAACGGACCATATTTCTATTAATAAAAACTAGGAAAACTCTATGAAATAGTCTTTTCTTCGAAATAAATGCGTAACTCATATGGCTTGCCAAGCATAATTTCCGCAACCGCAAAACGTTTAATTTTACGCATCTATATCAATAATGGAATTTCCAGTAATTTCCTAGAAAAGTCTATAATAATTATCAACAGCATATCACAGTTAGACAGAAATCTCAGTAAAAACACCGTGATATCGGAAATGAAACACTTGAGATAATCACCTTGGAATGGTTTTGTTATTTTTTTTTTTTAGAAAAATATAAAATTTGATAAATACAATCTGACCAATTTAAATTCGTTCCGTTTCATGAAAACTATCAACTTCCAACATTAACAGCTACCGGCATGTGCTAAACCAATGCTTCTTCCTCTGCGGGCCAACTTCTTTTGGGCACACAAAAATTCACAAGAATTTGGATAAGTTTGAGAATCGGTAGCACAGACGGGGTCCAAAATACGGGCACACTTGCAGACTTCACCATCAGCTTCAGTTTCGCTGTCAAGGCCGGCCACACGATAATCGGCCGAAGCAAAAGCCAACAAGGCCATTAGGACCAGGGCAAACACGGCGAATAATTTCATTTTCTCCTGTAATTGCGAGTGTTTACAACACCGAATACTTCAATAAACTGAATGGCTAAGAGCGACATTTTCCTGGTTATAAACAACTTTAAAACAGTTTACGTTGAAAATTCTGTGGGTTTTTTGGCTGTCGAGCGTGAATGTGATAAGGAAGGTTTTACGAAACAAAAACAATAACAACATGGTCATATATTTTATTTAAAAAAATAGCATTGTTGGACTTATATTGGTTAGAAATGATTAAGGCCACTGGATAATAAACAACAGTGCATGGCACTAACCCAGCAAACCAATTCATGCTGATAAGTAAAATGCATAATTTTCTTCACGAATGCCTAGAGAGAATCCGATTTTGTTTAATAAAACAATTTAGCTGGGAAAAAATCATAATATATATTTATTAATAATTTTGTAGGTGAATATACAATAAAAATTTACCAATTTTCGTATGTATTGGTCTTCTTATCAGTCCAATATTTACCGTTATTATAGTACAGCCCAGAGGACTGACAAAGATATCAATCATGAAATATTAACACGTAGCTTGTTTACTATGGTAACTCCAAATCACTATCGGCCTTAAGTACCCCGATTAGAATTTAGCACAGCAATCACAGAAAGTGTGCACAAGCTTAGAACTTCGGTATGATTCATTCAACCATACAGTGCATGCAGATAAAAAATTAAGGTATGAATCATTGACATAGACAAAAATACTGCGAAACATCAATTCGATCAATTTCAGAAAAGAGAAGGAATGTTGTGGCATGTACTCGATATCTCCAGATGGAATAATTGTAACGAAGTTATTCTTAGGAAATGCCCTGCTCCAAACCCCAGAAACGCATAGGAACATACGTATTATGTTGCTAAAAATTTGTGTTAATAAATAAATTTAAACAACAGATTATTTATTTCCCCATTCCAGACAACGTTGGGACTTAGTGCCCATATTAGGATAAATATATAAATAACCATACATCTAAAAGTGCGTAGGTCATTCGTAGCCACGTGATTCATTCTAGTTCAGTGACCTAAAATCTGTGATGGAATGATGGCCAATCCAGTTCAGCATTGAATTCACATATACAGGGTGAGATAAAAAAATGCAATTCTTAGATTTTTTTTAAAATTTTGTTGAATAAAAGCAACAAATGTCCGAAATAGCATCAAATTCTAGAATAAGTTTAGATTTGTTTGAAGTGAAACCGTCACACGCTGCCCGAATGTTGCTCTGCGGTATTTGGTCCCATTCTCGACGAAGCGTTTGCTTGAGGTGATCGGCACTTTGGTATTTTTAGTGCCAACGTTGCTTTCCAAAATACTCCAGACACAATAGTCCAACGGATTGGTCTCCGGAGATTTTAGTAACCATTGTGAGCTGGAAATGAAGCGAGTAACCTCATTTTGTAACCATTCTTGGGTGGCGGGTGCTGAATGCGATGGTGCTGTTGGAATGTCCAAAGTCTGCGGTTAAAATTTTTGAGTGCCCAAGGCTTTAATACACCCTCCAGAATATTTTCGACATTTATTCTGATGCCACGGTTGATTAATACGAGCGGAGAACGACCATCGGCTGTTTGGCGGCCCACACAATCACCATGGCCGGCGCTTGAGTACTGGTGCCCAACCGAAGGTGAACATTTTCAGTTGACCTCTTTGGCAAGTAAAGATGATCATTTTGTTTGTGTACAAACTGCCAAATTCGACAGTTTACCGCTTTCGGCCAAGCAAAGCGACTCTTTTGGGTCTATTTTCTTTCAGTTACGGTTAAGTTCTTGCACTTTTTGGAATTTCAATAGCTTTACCCCGAGCTCATTTTTTCAATATTTGCCGAATGAAATGTTGCGATATGTTCAGCTCACGAGCAATTTTTTGGCCACTGCGACGCGGGTTTCGATAAAGTCGCTTCTTTACTTTTCGAACCATTTCTGCTGATTTTTCTTCCTTCCACTTCCTTGAAGTCGGGCTAAGCTTCCAGTATCACGGTAACGAGCGATGGTACGAGACACAAAAAATTTATTCACATTTAAATGCTGGAGTGCTCTAACAATAGCCACTTGTGGTTTTCCAACCAAATATAAAGAAATCACACAATCACGCTTGAATTCCATCACGAATAACTTTTTTTCTGGAAAATCTCAACGAAAAGCTTTTGTACGCTTGTAAATAATATAATAATCTGTCAATAGAATAATTTTATGGCTGTGGCTTAGAAATGACAGCAGTCTAAAATTGGTTGCAGTTTTTTTTATCTCAGCCTGTATACTAATACCATCCTCTGCGCTACGCTTTGCCACAGGATTTGTAATCTCTATTTGGTTTTTGTGATACAAATATGATATGAAAAAATAAAAGTTTCATTTTCTTAATGTAATTTTTCATTTATCTTTAAAAATTAAATATAACTCTGAAAAAATCCTTCCACATTTTTACAAGGCTTTACCTTATTGGGTTTTTAGATATTTTAGGGTGTGTACAAACTCAATAAACGATTCAGACCCGTTGATAGAACGAACCGTCCACAATAAAAGGAAATATCATAGTTTTCAACACCTAGAAATATATGTCGAAGATCCCATCAGCTGATTTGATTTAAATATATACGACTGTCTGCCCACTCTCTGATATAATCCGCACAAAAATTTCAACACAGGTCGGGTTTGTCTACATATAATTACACTAGCCAATCATTGTTATATTAAACATCCCAGCGGCACTTTCTAATAAAATAGACTGTACTTTTGGTTTTAGCTTTCGATAACGTAAATCCCTACCTAAAACTCGAATTCCGTGTGCAACTTTGTTAAAATGTTGTAATAGTGTTGTAATAATTTTCTAAAAATTAGCTTTGTAATTTTTAGCATACAAACATTTTAAAGTACGTTCTGTCAAAGTTATATGCGTTCAATAGATTTTGTTGCATGAATTATATGGGCATTACAGAGTTGTATTCTTTTTATTAATCTACCTCATATCATTGTAGTATTAACAGAAGATATACAAATTTCGATCCAAATTTATCGCCATCTTTGTATAATCTCAAAAATGGATTTGTGCTGAACTTCAGTTTATTCCAAGCAGCAGCAGCAGCAGTTAAACCCTCAATATAGAAGTACTCATCATGGGTTAACCATTAAAATGCTTCATTCTTCGTTCCTTTCAAATTTTGCAAAATTGAAAAGAAACCCGATGCCGTGAAATTGACTTGTTCCCAGTATAGCATTCAGAATACAATAATAACCAGTTTCCCCATCCGTCCTACAAGAGAACAGTTTCGTTGTTGTTCGCTCCCGATATTCCTTATATAATTTCCAGAATTCATTGTATTGAAGCTAACCCCCCATTTTGAGTTCATGTTACATTTGTTTCCTCTTATCCAACACAATGCTTCCAAGTCATAAATGAATTTGTATTTTGCAAACCCTTTTGTTGGAAACACAACAACAGGTGCATTGAATGTCTCTATGAAAACCTATTTTCAGGATGATTTTCCTTTACAATCGCTCTTGAAATTGCCCTCGTCTCACCATTAGATTCAGTTAACCATATCCTTCCTTTCTTCTAAGTGGCTTCGTAAGAGGATTCTTTGTTATTAATTTTCAATGACCCTAAACCTGTGGCTTTTTGTCCTTTAAGGAAATGAGAAAATACATCGCCTCCCCACCCCTTGTGGTATCTACGGCCAATGATGGTGGTTGATGGTTCATAGATTTAATTGAAAGTCCTTTAATGATGGCAACATATGCTACGACCATGTAATTTGGGGCGTTACTATGAACACTGCACAATAACAACAACAGCAAAATATAATACTATTTATCCATTAAGAATTTTGGATATTTTTTAGATTTTTTAGACAGCCGAGTAATTTTCATTTTTTTTCTTAATTTTATATTTACAGTTGCCAGTACACCAGAAAATATACCGAAACGGGAGGATTCATCTTGCTCGAGCGGTGTTGGAAGTGGTAACATTAATAGCGGTGGCGTTGGTTGTTCCTTGCAAACTGGTAGTGCGTCCAGCAATCCATCCGATTGTAGTTCCAGTACACAAGCAATACCAGGTGGTTCTGCCGGAGGTAGTACAACAACTTGTGGCAATAACAATACTCAAGATTTCTCCAAGATCACAAGTCCTCCCAGTGCTGATGGCCAATCGGAAAGTGTAAATTTCTCCATTACAAATAACAGCATTGTCTCTTCAATCAATGGTCAAGTTGCAAGTAAGTATTAGTAGGTCACATAAATGAAGGTGATGACATTTTTGAACTATCACAAAATAAACAATTAAGCAAAGTCTACAGTCGTGCGGGGCCGACCATGTGATACCCTACAACACTACAATATTTTGGAAACACCCTTATGTCCCAATCTATTTCGTTTTTGAAATAATGTCATAGAGCCCTACACAGATGTTACCTTTAGTTTTTGACCGGGGACATTTGCCCAATATTTATGCTCTTCGTCGTCTTGATAGGTATTCAAAAAAAATTCACAAGAAAGTTGTGTTCCATTTTACAGCTTAATATAATCCAATGGTCATCCAAATGCTAGCCTTCTTCTCCGTCCTTAACTCTCTCCTCATGCAAAAATCCGTGCCGTCTAGTTTGTCAATTGTGACCTGAAGAGCGACTGTAGAATCAGAACAATTTTAATTTTTTGGTCCTTTTGAACCCCTAGATGTACATTTTCAAATACAACAAGCTTTGATTCTGACCCTAACCCTACCTTCATGCAAAATTTCGTGAGGATCGGACGATAATTGCGACCTGTACAAAATATCGTCAACACATAGTGTTGCGGGTGCAGAAAAATCTTAGAAAATGTACAATTCAGAATTGTAAGTCAAATTGGAAAAATCGCATGCGATAAATAGGATGGCAAAAATTGAAAAATGTAACAAAAAATATTCACTTTTTTATTGACATATTTTTACGCGATTTTCTTACTTTTTATCCTTTTCTTCGAAAATCAGTCCAGCGGTTCTTGACTTATAAGCTGAATAACTGAGATCAATTTGTTTTACATATAAATCGTAACTATTTTGCTATATATCTTGGCTATCAGCATCACTGTAATGGTCAGATGTGACCTTTTAATGAATTTGTGATTTCGCCGTGATTAAAAATATTCGCGGTTTGGTGGAAATTATCGTATTTTTTATCATAAAAGTTATGGTTTATTTTACCCGCTAAATATGGTCCAATGACCGTCCAATTTGGTAGACTTTTACGCGGGCCTAAACATAACTCCATGAAAAAATCCGTGTCTATTGGTTTATAATTATGGCTTGTAGAGCAAGTCAGGAGCAATCAGGATTTTTTCTCTTTTTGGTCCATTTCGACCTGTAAATTAACGTGGACAGGTGGACAGAGGAACATACATAGATCGACTCAGCTCGGCAATGTCGGAAGATCCATATATAGTTTCCTATGTGCAGGACCAATATTTCGAGGTGTTACATAATTGTTGGCCTAATCGAACTTTTAATATCTCCAACACATAGTGTGGTGGGGTATAAAAACGAGCTAGGGTTTTAAGCACCTTTAACCTTTCAGGGTCTAGCTTTGTAAGGCATCCCTCACATATTTAGTGGCTATATTGTTACATATGGCTTGTGTAATTTGATATGGCCAAAATGTGATTTATGCAAATAAAGGATCTGTTTAAAAAATCAGTCGTAGGACATTAGAGCCAATTTAGCGATGTCAGTCCGCCCATCTGTATTATTTTTTTGTGGTATCTCAAATGGAACAGTTGTCACTTAGGAAAACTGAGTTATACATTGCGCCTAAAGGTTTTGGCCGCATAATATTATAAAATAATAATAATGTAAAATCTATCTATGTAACTTTGATTGCCATATTGTCGAATACTATAATCGGTAACTACAGTCTCAAATCATTTTTCCATCCAAAATAAAAAAAATTGTTGTTTACTCTTATCGAATTATGGGTAGAATTTCTCAACCTTGAATTTCTCAGAGGAAATAAAAACAATTTTGCATAACTGATTGCGATTGAATCCTTTCATTGTTATGGGAACCTGTCAGTTCCATATTTGTATAACAAATTTCGAAATTGATTTCGAGTAAATAGGCTTAGTAAACATTTGTCTGTCTGCCTTCTCCTAATTCGGGCGTTACAAAGAAAATCATCGATTCATAATAAAACAGAATCCTTTATGGAGTTTACATGACTCCCCAGTCCTTGTGCTCGACACATGTGTGTGCGGGGTGTATGTGTGTTGCCGTACCGCATACACATTTTCGTTAGTAAATGAACCTTTTGGGATACCCAGAAGCGGATTAAGACAATGGAAAATGATGAATTCTTTACCCAATAGAATATTGTGCAACGATCCCAGCCCCCGGCGCCAATTAGATGGCCACATTTGGAACCTGTACTTCGATTGATTGTCTTTTTGTTGTACGGCAATACAATAACGAACTATAGTATTTTTTTTCCTATAAATGTGGAAGTTCATAACAAAACCAGTGATAACATTGGTGCAAAAGACTCACAAGGCCAAGTCCAAGGTGTTTCGCTTTAAAAAAAATACATTAGTTTATGACACACTTTTTTTATTAAGCCATAAGAAAATAGTAAAAGTTAAGTAAGTCAACTGAAAGATGAGAAGAATAATTAGATAAGTTCCCAAACTTCATTCCCTAAATCAATGTGAATGTTCTATGCATATAGACATTATAGGAGAAATAATTGCAATTGTTATGCTAAGAACCATAATTAGGTACGGATGTTTCTTATACTCTAATAAGTAGTTGAATAAATTAGCAGAATTAGTGTGGCCTCCTGAATTATAAGCTGGAATATATCACTCCCAGTTTAGACTAAAATGTTGTAGCTGAGGAATTTAAATAGCTTACAGTAAGTTGTTTTAGTATTTCTTAAGGACAGCAATCCCTCCTATCTTAAAATCCCTAAATCGGGAACGATTAAATTCCTTCAGAAATTTACAAAACTGACGTGATTTCCAATTTATAAAAATAGTCGTCTCCTTTTGCTACCTCAGTTTTAATATGTTTACTATCGCATCGAAATCTGAATCTGATAAAATGAAAAATACGAGATGCACCCATAACCGTAATTGCGTTCATATGTGAGTCTAACATTTTTGGGACAGCCAAAGCAGATACAAAAACAAACTCTTTTACCTCCTTCTTCACTCATGTTTGGGCCATATTTGCAGCTGCCCTTTGCTCATAAATTTAAAATTCTTTTCTGAAACATCGTTGTCTTCAGCTTTGCTCTGTTTTCTCTTCAATAAAAAAATCTTATAAATGTATTCTTCTTTTCATTATTTTTCAGGACACGGGGCTCTCACTATAGTTCGCCGTTCGAATAGCCGCAAAAGTTTTACTCAACTTGAATCACAGCATTTATATCAACAACAACTCTCGTCTACTCCAACTTCATCGTCGTCTGCCAGAGGCTCGTTTCTAGCAGATGAATCTGTAGGAAAACATCCCGCCAATACTGCAACCGCACCCCAGCACGACAATCGCCTCAACGAATCGTCGTCGTCTAGCTTTACCCAACAACAAACCTATTCCTCAGCACAAGCCACCTTAACACACAACGCTCAACTATTCCAGACTACAACACAACAATCATCTCCCTCAGCAAAAATGTTACCCACATCACCGAACACGAGCAATATAGCACCCATGCCACCTACAGCCACCGACACTATCCCGGATGAAAATGTTTCCGAATCGAATATGTCCACGGATGAAACTACGTCGGCACTCGGGTCGGCCAAAGCCAATCTCGATTTGGCCACAGAAAATTTACCAGCTGTCGATACACCAGATGCCTGTGACAAGGCTGCACTGAGGTAAGAAAAACTGGACGTTTTGTTTAATTTTTATATAGTGACATGTGCTATACAAGGAATCTGAATAGTAAATAGTGAATCGGAAAAGAGTTGAAACCAATAAAATAGATCGCAGCAAAATAGAGAGGAAAATATAAATCTGTATTTTATGGGCATGTCTTGCAGTGCGTATCTGTATCATTTTAACTATCATGCCGATAAAAAAACAGTAAGGACAGGTCAAAAGTAGGGCGGACCAACTTTATATTGGAAATTTATGTAAAGTAGATCATACCTACTGTGAACCATGGTACAAAGAAGAGAAGGTAGGCCAACTTTGAAAAAATTGCAAGTATAGAGGTCTACCTGTTTGGCCTGTAATGTCAGAATTAGTATCAAAACAATAAAAAAACCAAACAACTTGTTGCATTTATTTTGAATAAATAATTGAAAACCGCGATAACTGAATGAAAGGTCAAAACCTTCTTTTCAAAATCATGTACTATATATCTCTAAAGGATTATTTCGCTACAAAAACTCTAGATTTTGTCGATGCATACGTTGGAAATAAACATTTTGAAAACATCCGAATTTGAATATTTTCTGAACAATTTTTTGTTATTGAAAAGAAAACACATACATAAACAAATAAAGATGACATATTAAGCCAAGAAAATAAAAAAATTAAAATCATATGGTATCATAGCCCTACCTTGATATCATTGTACCATGCTGTGAACCTTATTTAAATGCATATCACAATTTCCGACTCTGAATCGATTTTCAACAAATTTGAACAATAGAAGGACCCAATAACATTGCTGTATAGTGCATAATATGACTTCGATAAGAATTATATCAAAAAATATTTATTGGTCCAATAAATATTAGATCGAGTTTTACCAAATGGAAAAATTCGGTTAAATATGAAATATAAATATTTATGAATATGTAAAATCGGATGAAGATGTATATCAAAGGTATATAAAAATCTGAACTGATCTTGATAAAATTTGGCAAAGGTATTTCTGGGCTGTACGTGATGTCCGGTATCATATATCATTTCTGTGAAGTGCATATTACGAATGTGTTGGACTTAAACACCAAATCGAATGAAACATATATATGGGATCTATAGCTATATCTGAACCGATTTTCACCAATGTTTGAAGTACTGGTTTCTGGGCTGAATTCGGTCAAATGTGCCACAATCCAGGTCATTTGGACTGATAATGGCCATTTGGTGCAGAATTAACCCAAAATCGATTGAAGATAGATATTTTTGGGAGCTATATCTAATTCTCATTAATTTCAATTGGGTTCGCCCTTGGGACAAACACAGAAATACAATAAATGCGACCTGCATTTTTCGCAAAAATATATGGACAGACGGGCGAACGGACTGACATGCACAAATCAACTCAGAAAGTATTTCTATGAAGATTCCCAAAAGTAAATATGGGTCTATCTCGCTTCCTTCTCCATGTTACAAACAAATGCACATAGACATAATACCCTTACCACTATGTGGTGTAGGGTATGAAAACAGTCCTGTCGACTTTTATTTAAACTTTCAGCTCGAAATGTGATTTCAAATTTGCCTTTTTTTCGATAACAGTAAACCATGTTACAGAATTCGACTATTGGCTTTTGAAAGAATTTGAACAAGGGTTTTAATTTTTCATCCGGGTCAGTCCAGTCAAAATAGGCATTTTTATCTAATTGAATCGACGGCGACTAATAAGTTGTATTACTTAATGTAGTCACTATGTTATTTGTTCTTGTAATCTAATTATTTATTTATTTATTTCTCTTCCAGATTACGCTATCTTCTGCGTATGCTCAGCACCGGCGAAATATCTGCCGATGTTCTGCAAAAGAATCTGCATTATGCAGCTCGGGTCCTGGAAGCCGTTTTCATCGACGAGTCCAAGTAAGTATTGTTTCGCTAAAGAGCAGCGCAACTCAATGTTTATTTCACAAATATGCATTTTATGCGTGCGGCTGATTCCGCTGCCGACAAGCCTGTGTACGCTAACCTAAAATTGTAGAAAATGATCTAAGGCAACTAGCGGCGATCATGAGTTAAACAGCAGCAGCCCATGCTACCATAGCGAGCAAATAAATAATTTTCTAGTTTCTTAGAACGTTAGTTCGTTGTGATAACAGTCACTTGAAAGCCAGTGATGCATTAACGAAGTTAAAATTGGAAATTGAATGGTGAGGTAACGCTTTTATGGGTAGATAGAATCATGGTTTGCAGCATCAACAAATAACACCAGCATCCGGATCTACTAATCTACATGAAACTAATCAGACAATGTTTTTCTCTCTCTCTCTCTCCCATCTCTTCATGTCCCCGAGACCCGTACACACTTTTCATCGGCATTACCATTACCATCAAGTTAAATGTTAGCCTCTTAACCATTGAAGTTCTGAGCGAGACATCAGCAATTATTGTTTGCGTCATAACACTCAAACATCATTTGGTTGTACATAACGCTTTGCTCATCATGTCATTGCGCGAGTTATTGAATCTACCCTTGATGTACTCCTAAGCTAATAAATAGTTTCCATTTGGTTGGTTGACTTGCTATCTGGCCTGTCCTTCGGACCATTAGACAAACATTCCAACATACATTGTGTTCTGATCCGCCAATTCGATGTCTGCCAATGTTGCTTTCAGTGTTTCGTGTACAACATGTTGTTGTTGTTGTTCTACGTTTTTTAGTTTAGACATTGTTTTCATTTTGATTTAATTTTAATTTTTGTTTTCTCTCCTCATCGCCCACGAATCGAATAAAAACCAATCGAACAAAAACTCTGAACAGAAGTCCCACGTCAGGTAAATCCAAAATGAGGCAAAATTCCAGTGCATCGATTGAATGCGAAGAGTAAGTTTGAGTGCGATGTGGTATTGGCCACATTCTAACAATGTTTTGTTTCAATTGTCCCTTTCTGTTGACTCATTGCCGTGACTTTTAGCTCATCCCACTCGCTATCACCATTTGTTTCCCAGTGTCCTTGTCCCACAAAAAGCTAGCTGTGCGTGCCACATTTTCGTCTTCGGCCGCACAAAACTCATTCGACTTTCTAACTTCTCCTAGGGCATGTTCTGAATTTGTGTTACAAACATGGAGCATATAAATACGTTCTCATCAGCATCATACATTCCTTCATTCATCCATTCGCCCATTTATCGTTCCAGTTCCCCCCGTTCGGGGTATCATAATTTCAAACTTCTAATCATAAATGCTAAAACGCCTCTCATTTTGCCTAAATGCTCTGAAACTCAGTGTCCTGTATTTCCCATTTTCCATATGGATAGATAATGATGATTGGTTTGAGTTTTCCACAATCTCAATTTCCTCCAATTGCTGTGTTGTGATGTTTGTATTCCCCAATTTACTTATGAATTTTAGCTGTGTGTTATCAAAGGAATAAGTCCGTCTCCTCCTACTGATTTCACCTCTCTCTCTCACTATATAATATATAAATATAAATGTGTATCAACAAAGTCTCGTATATATGTATTTCAGTTTATCAAGTCCATATACACACACATACAGTGTATGTCTGTATAGATATGTAAGTGCGTGTTGCTTGTGAATCTAGTTTTATAAATCTATACATTTGTCTGTGTGTAAATGTAATGCTATTTGTAGTGTCATAAGTTCTGATTTAGTTGTTTCAAGAAGAAAAGAGGGAGAGAGAAACAAATGTGTAAGTAGCGTCTAGTGGAGCACCAACATATTTTGGTGGAATTGTTTTTTTTTTATCAAATATGGAATAATAGACTAATATCAGCAACTAAATTATTAATGTATTTTTTTCCATTTTTTTGGTGTATTTTACGCGCACATGAATTTGAATACAAAAGAGAAGTCTGTTAACTTTTCCACATTTTTAAATTTCTCTTTCACTATTTCTACTCAATCTGTACTCATCATTAAACAAAATCTATCTAATTTCGATTTACCTAATAACGGAAAACTGAAAACTCGTAACTACATATATAACTATATGTTCGATAGATATGCGATACATTTAGGCTATATTCAATATACTATAGAAATGTTTTGAATATGCCACAGTAAATAAAAGTGCTATTATTTTGAACATTATGATTCAGGTATATATCATGGTTTACTTAAATAGATCTGTTCAAATCAGTCTTTAGATTTGGGAATATATATATGAGACTCCAATTGCGTTTATAGTTCCAAAGTAGGTCTCTAATCATTCTACGAATTTTTGAAATACACAGTGCTTTATGGTACTTGTTGTATCCTATTCTGAGGTTAGTTTATTTATTCAAACAACAAGCAACAGCATTTTATCGTTTTCCAAGCCCAAAACACTTTGCATAAATAAGTAAAGGATATGCCTATTAAAATGCATATGTTTGTTTGTACATGTATATAAATGTGTCGAATTAATTACTTATATCCTTTAAAGGGCAAAGAAGATACATACTTGTACTGTCGCTTAATTGAATAGCATTCCAACAACATTTTATTTTAAATTCATATTTTTCACAATTACATGATAGATTGCGAATTATGGCCTTTAAAGGCCAATGAAACCGTCACACGCTGCCCGAATGTTACTCTGCCGTATTTTGGCCCATTGCCGGCGAATCGCTTGCTTGAAGTGATCGACACTTTGGTATTTTTTAGTGCCAACCTTGCTTTCCAAAATACTCCAGACACAATACGGATTGGTATCTGGAGATTTTGGTGGCCATTGTGCGCTGGAAATGAAGTGAGGAACCCTCTTGGGTGCGCGTGCTGAGTGCGATGGTGCTGTCCAAGGTCTGCGGCCTAAATGTTTGCGTGCACATTTTCAGCTGACCTCTTTGGCAAGTAAACACGATCATTTTGTTTGTTTACAAACTGCTGGAAAACATTCGTTTTCTCATCGGAGAAAACCAAATTCGGCAGTTCACCACTTTCGGCCAAGCGAAGCAACTCTTTAGCTCTTTTGTTTCTATTTTCTTTCTGTTGCGGTGTAAGTTTTGCGCTTTCTGGAATTTCAAGGGCTTTACCCCGAGCTCATTTTTCAATATTTGTCGAATGGAATATTGCGATATGTTCAGCTCTCGAGCCATGTTTCGGCCACTACGACTCAAGTCGCTTTCTGCTAGTGTTGCTGTTTTCTTCCGTCCACTTCTTTAACGTCGGGCTGCGCTACCACTATCACGGTAACGAGCGATGGTGCGAGACACAAAAGATTTATTCACATTTAGATGCTGGAGTGCTCTAGCGATAGCCACTTGTGGTTTTCCAACCAAATATAAAGAACCTCGCCAAAATGCTTTTGTACGCTTGTAAACAATATGATGAGCTGTCACTGAAATAATTTTAACAGCTTTCGAACGAGTGGCTTAGAAATGACAGCAGTCTGAAGTTACTTGCAGTTTTTTCATCTCATCCTGTACAGTAGCACCTTAATGTTAAGAGGGAATGCTATTCAATTGGTATTAATTATTTTATTGTTTATTCCAGAAAAGTATATATAAAAGTTAAAAATATATATATTTCATGTAATTTTGGAGTGAAAACTGAAGATAAAAATAAACTTAGAAATAGCATTTTTTCATACCACATGATTATGATTATGGTAATGATTAGGTTTTGCTCGACACACTAATAATTCGAGTACCATTTTACGATAATTGGTAGGGAATTCGATAAAATAAGTGCATCATTTCTAAACTTATATCGCTTACTGCAAGTACTATAACATTAAAAAAAGAGGTCGATTAATTTCAAATCTAAAAACTGTGCGTTTACAAGTGTTTCATATATTCAATTACTAAATCGATTACAAATTTAAAACGTAAGAGGCTGAGAGCTTGCTAAAGCGCCAAAATATATTTCTCGCATCCACAATTTCAGCAATCATATATCTAACATACATTCACCATTAGCAACACATTTATGGTTAAATCACCAAGGAGTTAAAAAAATAATGTTAATTGAAAATTTCCTTTATTTTATCTTTATCTTATATTTTATTGCCGCATCTTTTTCTCAACCATAATGTGAATTTTATGAATTGGTTTGCCTTTCAATTAAAAAATACGCTCGTTACATTGCGGTTGCTCCTTACTGCTCTGCTAAATGCTGAATTTACTGTTATTTTTCGACTGCTTAATGCCAAACAGAGAAGATCCTAAAACCGGGCGATGTAATGGCAACTGCAAAAATGTTGAATGCCAAGAGCATCAGCATACGCACAATCAACAACACACATCTTCCAGGACAGCGGGAGGCGAAACGACGGCGGTGGCATCCAGTGATAACAACAATACCGATCAGAGTCAATGCTCTCTGAGAACAGAGGAACCGGGAAGAACGCCTGCATCCGGTGACGATGAATCTAACAATCAAATTAGCATAGACAGTCGGACAAAGGGAGCATGTCTGGCACCACAAACGCATAGCGGGCCAACAGGTCCGCCGGCCACCGATGCACAGCAGCCAAGAGATGCCGAAGAGAACAAGTCCACATCCACCGCCGCCCCAACAGCCAATCCTCAGAATAACAGTACTGTTAGCAGTAGCAGTTGTAGTAACAAAGCAACCATTCAAAGGCAAAAACGTCTGAGAACACCGGTCTGGGCGAGATCCATGTCGACAAACAAAACGTACATAAATTGCTACCTCTTTACATACCTATACTAAGTTATTTTAGTTGAATAAGTATTTTGGTATTTTACCTTATGTTTGGTTTGTATTATTTTTTTTATTGTTTTCTCCTCCTCCAGCTACACTTTCTTAACAAGAAACCACAAAGAACAACACCGAACTAGAGCGCAACAAATAAAATCTGCCGACTGTTTTTGTCTGAAACAATTTTCCTCTCTTGTACTGACTGATCTCTTTTTGTCTATTAACTGTCTGTCCCTTGTCTCTCTCTTACTTACCAAACGCTCTTTTGTAAATAAAATTCTTCACCTTTTGAAGCAATGTGCATGCCTTTTAGCGATTTCAGCGTTTTTAACATTCCTATATATGTATGTATGTTTGTATGTATGTATTTAAAATATTTTGAACTAGTGCAACAAATGTATCGCAAACGGCATGAAAATCTTTATCTGACTGTTGGTTAAACTAAAGGACATACCTACTACATAAACTACACATATATATTTGAATAAAAGATATATTATTGTTAATTAATATTAATTTTTATGTGTATTTAATGTTATTCTTAATCCTGCGTTTACAAAAGAAAATTGAGTTCAAAAGCTAACACAAATCAGTTGTAAAAACTACCATGTGGCAACTTGACTCATCGCCAAATCGGATATACTTAAAATTCTATAAATAAGTAGACTATAGCCACGATTCCTTTGTGAGAGGAGCTAGTCCACACACAAAGAATCTAATCGAATTGCAGTTAATTGGTTGGGAATTGAAGCGGAAACCTCCAAAATACTGAATGTTGGTTTCATCCCAGGAACGATATCAATGTCTGTGCAAAATTTCAACAGACATACGAGCATAGCTACATCGGCATAGAATTTAATGTTGACCAGGAATGTGAAGGGTATGACCATGAATGTACATTTACAAATTCTATTTGTTTAAATATTCATTAATCCTTCACTATCCTTTTCTTTCATTTAAAAAAAATGATTAGGGTTTTTATTTGCTCTGTTCCAGTACTTGCAAGAATCTACTAGCTTTGCATTTTTAGATATCATAAAGGGAAAATCGGTTATCGCAGTAAAAACTTTTACTTTCTTGCAGTTTTGGAACAGACCGATTATTTAAAATACCACTCTGATTCAAGTCTATTTGTCTCGTGTAAATGGCTGGTAAAGTGAAATTTTCTAAAATTGAATTGCGAATTAATTATTGCTAAGAATTTTGGAGAGAAGACCACAGAAGTTTGGTTTTAATGTACATTTAGCTTTTAATGAAAACATATACAATTTTGTGCGGTTTACTCTTAAATTAGAATAATGTGGAAAAAAGTGTTATGTAAACAATACAACTTGTTGCAATTGTTATTAATAAATTTAAATTTACAAGACTCTGGCTTTGCATTTTTCCAATTTGAAAACCCGTGATTGTAAAAAAGCTGTTTAGACCAGTATTCGGTTTCTACCAAAATGGTTGCGTTGCATACACCCACCTTTTCCCCATAATCAACCATTTTTGTACGGTCGTATTACCCAAATTCGCAAGGACCATAAATCTATGCAAATCAACCAAACTTAAAAAATTTTTGACAAAAAATTAGATATTTACATTATTACAAACAATTTTAATCTTTTTATTTTCTTGGCTTAATATGTCATCTTTATTTTTTGTGTGTGTATTCTTTTCAATAATAAGAAAATTGTTCAGAAAATATTGAAATTCAAATTTAATGCATCAAGTTGTTTGGTTTTTTGATTGTTTTGTTAGTAATTCTAACATTACAAGCCAGACAGGTAGACCTCTATACTTGCAATTTTGTTCAAAGTTAGCCTACATTGTACCATGGTACAATGAAGAGAAGGTAGGCCAACTTTGAAAAAATTGCAAGTAAAGAGGTCTACCTGTTTGGCTTGAAATGTCAGAATTAGTATCAAAACAATAAAAAATCAAACAACTTGTTGCATTTATTTTGAATAAATAATTGAAAAACGCGATAACTGAATGAAAGGGCAACACTTCTTTTCAAAATCATGTACTATATATCTCTAAAGGATTATTTCGCTACAAAAATTCTAGATTTTGTCGATGCATATGTTGAAATAAACATTTTGAAAACACCCGAATTTGAATATTTTCTGAACAATTTTTCTGTTATTGAAAAGAAAACACATACATAAACAAATAAAGATGACATATTAAGCCAAGAAAATAAAAAAAATAAAATCATATGGTATCATAGCCCTACCTTGATATCATTGTACCATGATATTGATGATTATTTTATTGTTTATATGCATAGTTTAAAACAAACAATAAATAAAATCGTACGCAACCATTTTGGTAAGAATTTCTATATTATACCATACTATAAAATGAATGTTATCGCACAAATGTGCTGGAAGATGTTGTTCGCTTTTTATTTTTTTTTTTTTTTTCTTGAGATTTCGTCTAACACGATTTCGCAAACAGCGATGGTATAAATTGACTGACGTAAACGCCGTGTTTGTTTGGTAGTGTGTAACCCAATTGCTGGCACACCAAACCCAGCCGACTTCGGATTCTTAACATTTATCGTTTACACTAATTTTTATCAATCATTCTATTTTGTTATGCCGATTTATAGATCCCTTCTCGATAATTTGGCGCGCCTTTTTCTGTCATTTGTTTGTTTATATTTTGAGTGTTGTGCAAAAAATCACGAAATCATTTATAAAGAGTTGTGTGTACTATATTGTTGGTATCAAGTCATGTCAAAAGTTAAGGCCGATAAACAATCACCAAAAGAGAATACGAAAGCAGAAAATAGTGATAATGAATCAATAGTAAGTTCTGATCATTCGCAAAAGCATCTAAAAAACTTAATTCTCGGGAATATTTCCACTCCATTAGGATGATACAGCAAGTGTCGCAACAAGCACTACCTCGCGCAGCAAGTCCCCTGGCTCTCGTGGACGCAGACAAAGTCGGGGTCATAGTAAATCAAAAGCGAAAAGACCGGCGTATAAATACGAGTATATTTCAATCGTTATTCTTAGTTTTCATATAAACTAATAACTTTGTTTCTCTTAGCTGTCATTTAAAAGAAGATCATGGACAGGCTATTTTCGGTGTGTCTTTCAATCACCTGTTGGGTAAGGATCAACCAATGGTGTTTGCCACAGCGGGCAGTAATCGTTGCAACATTTATGAATGTCCACGCAAAGGTGGCTTAAAACTAATCATGTGCTATGCAGATCCTGATGTATGTTTTGGTTTAGCATTCTAATATTTGCCGTTTCACACTTTCAGTCTATTAATTTTTCAGCCTGATGAAGTTTTTTACACATGCAGTTGGTCTTATGATTTGAAAACATCAGCTCCCCTATTGGCCACGGCTGGTTATCGTGGTGTTATTCGCGTAATTGACATACATAGAAATGAATCGGTGGGAAATTATGTGGGCCATGGGCAGGCTATCAACGAACTGAAGTTTCATCCAAGACAAGCGAATCTCTTGCTCTCAGGCAGCAAAGATCATGCCATACGGTTGTGGAACATACAAACGCATGTGTGTATAGCAATTTTTGGTGGTGTGGAGGGTCATCGTGATGAGGTACTATCGATAGACTTTGATTTACGTGGAGAGCGTATAATGTCCAGTGGCATGGACCATTCTTTAAAACTGTGGCGCATTGACACGCCCGAATTTAAAGACAAAATTGAAATGTCCCGCACCTTCAATCCGAATAAATCCCAGCTACCGTTTCCTACAATTATGCAACATTTTCCAGAATTTTCTACAAGAGACATTCACCGCAACTATGTGGATTGTGTACAATGGTTTGGAGATTTCGTCCTCTCAAAGTCATGCGAAAATTCAATAGTATGTTGGAAACCGGGACAGTTACACCAAACGCTGTCTCAGCTAAAGCCAAATGATCCTTCGTGTACAATCATTAGTGAATTCAATTACGATGAGTGTGAAATATGGTTTGTACGTTTTGGCTTTAACCCTTGGCACAAGATTGTAGCTTTGGGCAACCAATATGGCAAAGTGTATGTATGGGAACTGGATCCATCGGACCCTAGACACACACATTCCAGCACCTTGAATAATATTCGATGCACTTCAATTGTGAGACAGACTGCATTTTCTCGTGATGCAACAGTACTGGTGTGGGTATGTGATGACGGCACAGTGTGGCGTTGGAATCGGAGAAATGCAGAAGTACACACACCATAATGCATACATTCATTTCACATGTTTTATATAAGTTATGTTTTATTATATGAAATATAATTAAAATAAAATGTTATTTTTCTATCCACCAATTTTTGTTAAATATTTCTATAAATGACTTAAATCCTATCCATATATTTAATTCTGATTTCGGAATGACATCGGAAATAAGCATTATTTAAAGCCGGTCGTTAAAATCCGCACATTAAAAACATCGTCTTTTAACATTAGTTAAACAGTTGTGTTATTTTTTAATCTAACTTTAAGATTTGTTGGTTGATATTTAAGAATATTTATGAAATAACGACAGTTTATTGTAAGAAAAAATCTACTAATCTCTAATCCATGATGAGTTAGTTTCTAACAGACGACAAATTATTTTACATTAAACATGTATCTATGTAAATTAAATTATGCATTTCTATGTTAAATTGAAAGTATTTTTTTAATTATTTGTGTGTGACTTGCGTTACTAGTTTTGTTATGGTAGCATATCCTTGTTATTGTATGCTTGTATTTGTACTTGTTCCCTTTAATATTCTAGTAGATGTTCTTCTGCGTCCTCCACTACATTATCCTACTCCAGTGCCTCCTTGAGTGTTACCATGGCGAATAGACGTAGCCGACACCACGTATCTGTACAACACCAACAACACGAGTCCAATAACAACAACGACAGAAACAACTTTAACAATAATAATTATCCACTGGGGTTGGTTACATTTAAAGTATTCTCCTTGTTTGGTCTTCCATCCAATAGCTGTGAGATGTGTGTATACATAGTAATATATATAGATGTAGTATATTTGTCGTTCTCATTGTTGTGTGTTTATAATAGAAAAATCAAATCGAAAGATTTCATCTGATCGATGTGCTGCACTCGAGATATGTTTTAAGTCAAAATGTTATTAACATAAACATTTAAGTGGTAAAAATATGTTAACGAGTAGAGGGTGTCAAACACATTCAGCTGTAATATGATTAGAAAATGAACGAATTCTATGGACAGCACTACGATATAGTAACTAATCAATTCGATTGTAGAGTCTGTGTATGTAAATATGTTATTTATTTTTAAGTACATATATTAATTTGTATACTTTGATTGGTATTTTTGGGTTGCAGTGTAATGGAGGGGTGTATATGTTCGGAGGGGTGTATCTATTAACACTCGGTCACATTTATAACAGGTTTCAAATGACATTCATACCCATTCGATCGAATGGTAGACTCTGGGTAGTTAGAAATGTTTATGTTGAGAATTGTTTTTGACATTAAGTACATTAATAAACCATTTAACAAACTCAGGTTAGGCGGTAAAATTTGCAGGTTTGCAAAATTAATTGTCGAAGAAAAATTTCTGTATTAGTACAGCACAGAAATATTTCTAAAAATAAACAGAAATATCAAAATAACAACAATATTGCATAGTTTTTTGTGTTGTTTATGATCCGTATAGAATTATTCACAAAAGTTACTTTGATAAATTGGTTATGACGAACCGGCGGAGGAGTTGCACAAATCTTAATACGGCGGCCTTATAAGTATTGAATCATATAGAGGTTGTGCTGTGACTGGAGAACACCTGACGTCATTACACTATTCATTTTTTTAAAGAATACCGACAAATCGAAGAATAATTTGAAATTATTTTTTAATACTTCAATTAATTTTAAAGACTTGGCCACTTTATCGAACTGATAATACTTCGTAGACAGGCGTCTATTAAACAAGGCTGTGTAAACGCTGATTGTAGCAATCAATTATTTAAAAAATAAACAAAAAAATCTATATATTTTTGTGGGTGCGTATGTATTTGGCAAAAGCAACATCACATTGTTTCGTCTTAGTCAAAAACTGGAGACACTATATGATCTACAAATAAAAACCTGTGTCCCAGTACATGGCATGGCTCTCCTAAAAACCCCATATCAGTTGTATTGACTTTGTCAAGCGAACAATACCTGTGTTTGTTTGAATAAAAAAACAAAAAGCGTTTTTACTTAAAATATTAGTTATTAGGCTATGGGTCTGTGCGTCGGAATGTATAAACAACACACAACATATTCAAAAGGGTTCCAAACTGTTATGGCAAAAAATAAATTAGTAACTTTTAAATCATTGACTGTGATCGCACATGTGAATGGACGACGATCAAATACGAAGGTTCGCAAAGCGATTTTGTGTCTTTAAAATGTTTTGATTTGTTGATTGTTCGAATTAATATAGAATAGAAATGCTGCAGCAAGAACCGACGCCATCGCTGCAATACGGGATAAATAAAATGTATGTAAACCACAATTTATAACTAGACCAGTTGACGAGTTATAAACGTCGGTAAAATTAACTGAGACAAATACTTTTCATTATATGTGTTCATATCTACAAAGATAATGTGATTGTGTTTTTATATAAAAAAAACAATTGTTGTGTGTAACATGTACCTACATATAGTTACACTGATCCGAATTTCGTTTAATATTTTAATTTAAGCACATCTTGTTAGCAATGCTAGATGAATTCTATGTTATAATGAGAGATTTTCGGTTTCTTTATTAGGGTAGTCAAACCCCTAATAGAGAAATGTAAATTTAAAATACTCAAGTGAAAATATCCGAAACTGAACTAATGACTTCAGCAAGCTCAACGGTATTTGTTGGATTGTATTTGAAAATTGTTTGGTCAATTTGAAGGTCATGATGTGTTCGAAATGTTAACAAGTTTTGTTACAAAGTCTGACGAAGTACGTTCATATTAATTTTATGTCTGACTTCACTTTGGTATTGTTCTCCCTTCAAATTTGTCAAATTTGCCCATTATTTTCGTGGGGTTATAATCAATCATCAGTTTTTTTTTTTGCTTCTATCTTCTATAGTCCTTGAATCGGTATAACAGAAATGAATAATAACACAGGAACTCGTCCAGAAATTGCGAACATTTTCATGTCGTATTCGCGCCACGAATCGTCTTTAACTTATTATTTGTCTCATTTAAAGGCAATCTATCTATCTATCAATTCATAGTCACGGCAACATCAATACATACATTGAACTGATACCACTACTGTTTCAGTCCATGCCCAGTGATATCCATTACAGGCCACCTTCACTCTGCCCTAACAACCACAATCGGTGATAACATGATTTTGGCCATTGCGAAATTGACCTAAAATCGGCAATTTGAATCGTTAGTGCGACTGGAGGGAGGAAGTCGTTTCATAGTAACCAAATGAAAGTTCGCATTTTATTATCATCGCGGTGGATACTCATTCAAATTACAATGCCCTTATTGTGTTGGTTTGTATGTTTAGGGGCGGAGTGAGGCTAACCTATGAAATGAAAACTCTTCTGGTTTTGTTGGGGAAGCCGCAAAATGCGACTTCCCCATACTTTATTCAAATTAGAACTGAAATAATATTATCTTACAAAAATTAACTTAAGGTAAATGAAGAATAAAGTGAGCGTGGGAAAACGCTTAGTAAGCATAATGCACGCTTACTATCTCGGAGCAGTGCGGACAACATACCTCAATAAAGTGAGGGTGTAAAGTTACATACTGAATGTATTGTAACTTGAGTAAAAGCATACTATTAGTTGGATACAGAAGGTATGCCAACTTGGACAAATATGTAAACCAGTATGATACGTTGTCATACGGAAGGTATGGCAACATGGATGAATCAAACACACTACACCTCCCTTTTTAACAAAGAATAATCAACGGTTTAAGTTGATTATTCTTAGTTGAGTTTAAGTCGTATAATTTTATAATTCATGAATTTTATTCACATAAATTTACAATTAACAGTCAGTGCTGGCATTATTTAAATTTAGTTCTGGTTTATTTTAAAATTACGTTTAATGTTTATAAGTTACTCATATTTGTTTTTTTTTTTTTTGTATAAAGACTAATGCTTACATATATATTTAACTTTACTTATTTAATACGGTTACAATTTTTGTTCTATAATATATGTTGTAGTAAATAAAAATTATTACATGAGAATAACGAAAAATAGCAAAAAAATTTTTTTTGAACTTAAACGATATCTATAAAATATAATTTATGATTTGTAAAACTCAAATATAATTTTATAAAATTTTGTTGTGGGATCTTAAATTTTAATATAAGTGATTTAATATGTTTTTTTTTTTCATTATTTTACATATATACATATTTTTTTATTAATTAATAGATGTATTCTTATATATTAGTTTACTAAGTCGAATTGAAAAGTTAAATGATCTAAAGTAGATTTAGATTATTGCTATATATGTATGTTTATATATTATTACTATGTATTACTATATATATGTATGTTTTTATATTATTACTATGTATTACTATATATATGTATGTTTTTATATTATTACTATGTATTATATTATTATATTTTCATAGGTACTGGCCAGTTATCTATGTTTTATGTAAGTTTTATAATTTATTGTATGTATATGCTAAATTTATATATACGTATATTTTAGAGGCAGAGTTATATTTAAAAGGCAGTTAAAAAAAAACAATATTTTCAATATTTTTGTTCTTAATTCAAGTTATTGCTTAATGCATTGAACAATTTTAAACGGTTTTTATGTACTTCAATACTTTTTCTGTCCGACGATGACAGCGTGCAATTCCCATTAGAATCTATATTTTCGACAGAATAGGGGCCTTTGAATAATTGTTCCAATTTATGGCCGCCATTATTCTCTACTAGTACTAAATCTCCTATTTGTACGTGTAAAGGATTAGCCGTTTTGTCATATTGTAATTTATTGGAGAATTTTGATTGAGTAATCATTTTGGCAGCTCGTTGTCTTGCCATTTGGAGTCTGTACTTCACTTCTTTTTCATAAGAGTCAACATTATAAAGTGGATCTACAGTGTTAAAACCAATAGAATCAATGATATTTGGAATTTTGCCGAAAACCAATTCATACGGACAATAACCATGGATTGTTGATGGAGTAGTATTAAAACAGTATGTAAAATATTTAAGCCATTCGTCCCAATCCGTTCGTTCTAATGACACATAAGAACGAATATATTCATTAAATGTCCTATGTGACCTTTCTATGGATCCAACTGTTTG